GTTTGGGTGTGTGTGTGTGTGTGTGTGTTGGTGTGTGTGTGTGTGTGTGTGTGTGTGTGTGTGTGTGTGTGTGTGTGTGTGTGTGTGTACACACTTCAGCTTGTGGAAGAGCTGTTTGATGAGCTTTGATTGATCATGTGACTTTCTCATCACTACCTGTTTTTGGTTGTTATCAGTATTACAATGGTTCAAAACAGATGTTAGTACTTCAATATGCTGGTTTATTAATATTACATCAGTTAATGAAATACGTTTTTTTATTGTCAATTTAAGTTAAGTCTGTAAAACCTAAAATGGTGCTACCATATTTTTAACGGTGAAGTTCTGGCAACCACAGCTACCGGTATTTTACCGTAAATGTCACCGATTTTTTTTTTTTTTTTACAGTGCAGGAGCCTTTATCAATATATAAACCATGAGTTCCCACTTCCAGACAGCCATCACTTACAGGAGACACCCAACATCACTGCTGAGACTCATTCTCAACCTGTCGACGAGATCTGCACGTTGCTACACATATGATCCTGAGCCATATACATTTTATGGACTCTATATAAAATGTGCAGGAACAATTCAAAGAAACAATAACAACAGAATAACACAAATCAGACACAATTTGCTCATGGATGTGTATTTTAATAAAAATAATTCTGTCAAAATTAAATGAGTACAATATTTCTTTATCATGTTTCCAGTACATAGGTATGTCTCTTTTTTTTCTTCTTTTGTTTTTAAAGTGTTTTTCTTTTTTATGTTGTTTTAAAGGTTTTAAAGGTTCATGCTAAGTAGAGGGTAACTCATTTCACAATTTCTCAAAGAGAACTCAAATAAAATTAAAATCATATTAGAAGTAAATTGTGCACAGCTTGCTGTACTCCATTCTGCCCGTCCTGCTCCATTGTCTTTTGAGGCAGGAACATCACCACATGACTAAGAAGATATCGACAAAGAATTTGACTACTTTCTTCCCTTCCATTTATGTAGGTCCCTATTTAAAGCCAATAAGAAGTTCTATGATGGATTATTTTAAAACGACAATATTCATTATAGGTGGTTAGATTATGATGAGTTCCAAAACATACTTGGCATTAAAAAACCAGCCCATGACAAAAGATCTACAACGTACATGTCAGTAGAAGAGTGCTTCTATATAAACTGCAATTTTGTAACTCAAACATAAGTAAAAAGTTACACAAGATGTCCCCATGCAACATGATACCACCATTTAACAACCAAATGGACCCATTTAGCGGAGTAAAATGGTAAAACAAGATTCTTAGGGATCAGGATGTGTAAAATTCCCGCACCACACAATCAGACTGATACATAAACACTGCTAAAAACAAATGGTGGGGCTCCAAAACAGTGTAATCTGTTATTTTACTTTGCATTAGTGCCTATATTCATTATGTAACTCCAAAGCTGGGAAGGTCAACTTTATTTTAGCTACTGAGGAGCATGTGCAACCTTCCAGCGATGCTGTGACCTCTGACTTCAGCCAGATGATCTGCAGGTCAACCTGCACTACACATACCTTCCGTTAAAACGCCTGTCTTGATACAACAAGCTAGACAGCACTGACCTAAGAGTAAATGAGGTATAACTGAAATGAACAAAAGCTGGTGTAGATATGGGAATGTAACAATCTCATGATGGCCAGCAGCAAAAAATGTGGGAAATAAAATTGGCTAAACTACATTCAACACCACAGCGGCGTGCTGGCAAGTAAAATGCTGGGTTGACATGGGATCGATTTATAGTTTTTCCTTCAAGGATGATCAGATTTGAAAAAAAGAAACACAGGCTGCTAATGGGAAATAAAAAGTGTTAAGTGCCCGAGCCAGTTAACATCACATTTACAAAGGACATCGGGGAGGGAAAAAACCAAAACAATTGCACTGATATGAGGTCGAAGTGAAGTTCTGGAGCAACAAAGATGATTGCAATTTAAGGAGATGTTCTAGGTGCTAAATAAGCAATAAAAATTGTTTTTGTTTGTTTCTGTTCATTTGCAGGAACGCTGGGTCAGTCAATTGTCTTGCACGCTGCAAGTTCATACTCGGTCCCTCCATTACTGAACAGGAGAGGTAGACAGATACAGTAATGCATCATGTGCATTAATTGAAGTACAGTGCATCCAATGGTAAGAAACTTGAACAACAGTACTTAACAGCCAATGAAACAACCAATAACAAGTTGAAACGGTGTCAGTTTGTAGTTATTCATCTAACAGGAAAACTATCAACAGTGACACTATTCACATGGGTATAAAACGTAAAGACTTTGTATACGAAGTTAGTCTGTAAGCTTCAGTGGAGCTTCTCAGTAATCAAACTACTGCCCTTAATTTTCTTTTGTCAAAAATTTTGCGTTTTTATTTGGTACAGCCACACAAATCAGAAAACCACTTGTTAACTTCAATATACCTAACTTAAAACTTAAAAAGTGAAGGTTGACATTTGCATGATACTCACTGCTATAAAGATGGTAAAATATAGGTAAAATAGATCAATTTTTGGGCAAAGGTCTATGGTTGAAAATATAACTCATCTACATTGGACCCAAGGACAAGTCTGCGTCGTCGTCACTGTGTGATTGTGTCTAATGAAACTTGTGCTGGTGTCTGAGATACTAAAGTAGCTTAAAAGACGCTAGGAGTCATGCGTTATCTCACCCTCTCTCGCACACTTACGCCAATGAAAATTTGTAAGGTCACACTTAATTCACGTATGCGCACCATACGTCCATTTAATTTCTAAAGGGGCTGTTAAGGTTGACCAAATAAAAACAAAACTATAGATTTTGCTTGTACATACAAAAGGACCTGCTTAAAAACCCACAGTATGATCTGGTGAAGCAACACCTGTGTCCGCAAATATGCCGACTAAAGAAAGGTCTGTCTAAATACCTGAGCTCTGACTGAGAAAAACCAGAGTGCGTAGCTCAAATTTTCAGTAGGAACTTACCTTTATGTATATTTTTGATATGGTACGCTTGAAATACTATGCACTGAATTCACCCATGAAAAATAAAATAGTTTTGGAAGTTGATTTGTTTCAAGATGAGCACAACAAACGGACAAAATATAAACTAAAATAAAAATGACTAGATAAACAGAATAATTCATTATCTTTAAATAGTGTCACACAATTTGTATTTGATAATACTAAATTAAAAAGAAGCCTCTCTTCTCATGTTTCTATTCATTCTGCTCGGCTGCCTCTGGCAAACGGCAAGCGACACAACAATTCAAACGCGTTTTCTTGTCATGGCATCCAACTGGAAAGTCCTCCTCATAGCTGTCCTGAACACTGCCTGAGGGAAATACAAATGGGTTATGTATTTAACAGACAATAGGAAAAACTGTGATATTTTAATAAAAAAAAATAAAAAAAGTAAACTAACAGCAGAAAAAGAGGCTAAGTAAAATAAAAGTGATTTTGCAAAAGATTGAACACTTAACAAGACCTATAAATGTGTATTTAAACATGAATAAAAATTCAGTTGTCATATTTATTGATGTTGCATGGTCTGATTTACTTAATCTCGTGCACCTTTACACTATCAAAAAGAAACCTCCAATTAGAAGCAGATGTCTGGTTGACTATTTTCTTCGAATGTGCGAGACTTCTGATTCATTAGCAGGCAAATAACTAGCAGAATAACAAAGAGCAGTAACCTCTAACACTATTTGTGCTTAAAACCAGTGTGTTTTTGATGATGATAATATATTAAAATAATATGACAATATCACAGTTTGCAATATAAAGGACTGTTTGTTTTCATACAGCTAAAATAACTGGAAGCGAATGACCCTGGAAGCCTCACACATTCAAGTTACAAATGGCCGCACCTGCTCTTATGTTAAAAATAAGGCAGATAAGGAATCAAAAACTAAAATGATACTGAATTAAAATAAAACTACAAGTGGAAAAAAAGCTAAGTAAACTAAAACAATAAAAAGGTGAGCTTGGTAAACACTAGAAGAACAAAAACTAAACCGGACCTATAAATGTGCAAAAAAATATAAACAAAAATTCAATAAATTACAGAGAAATGACCTTTCGGGTTTTTTTTAATTATTATTTATTAATGCTGCATGGTCTGATTTACTAAATCTTGCTAAACTTTACAAGACCAACCACCCACCAATTACATTTCACATTTTCTGATAAAGTGTTGTGTGTCTTGCTATCTACAGAATAATTTATGTTCCCAGTAACACTATTTGTGCTAAAAACCAGTGTGTTTTTGATGATGATAATATATTAAAATAATATGACAATATCACAGTTTGCAATATAAAGGACTGTTTGTTTTCGTACAGCTAAAATAACTGGAAGCGAATGACCCTGGAAGCCTCACACATTCAAGTTACAAATGGCCGCACCTGCTCTTATGTTAAAAATAAGGCAGATAAGGAATCAAAAACTAAAATGATACTGAATTAAAATAAAACTACAAGTGGAAAAAAAGCTAAGTAAACTAAAACAATAAAAAGGTGAGCTTGGTAAACACTAGAAGAACAAAAACTAAACCGGACCTATAAATGTGCAAAAAAATATAAACAAAAATTCAATAAATTACAGAGAAATGACCTTTCGGGTTTTTTTTAATTATTATTTATTAATGCTGCATGGTCTGATTTACTAAATCTTGCTAAACTTTACAAGACCAACCACCCACCAATTACATTTCACATTTTCTGATAAAGTGTTGTGTGTCTTGCTATCTACAGAATAATTTATGTTCCCATGTTAAAAGGGATGAAAAATTACATTGAATTAAAATGAAAACGCAACTAAAACTAATCCTTTTCAGAAACTAATTTTGACTACATTTACAATCAAGTTCCTGTATAAAAATAAAAAATAAAGTATTTTTCAAAACTATAATTACCTTGGTGCTCTCACCTGGACTGGCGCTAGTGCAAAAAGTTGTCGACTCTGGCGAAGGAGCAGGAACCAGAGCGAACCCTGGCCATCAGCTGCACGCACTCCGTGGCCTGACCCAGAGCCAGCATGAGTGGAGGCTGTTTGGGCAGATTCTGAGACTCTGAATGAGGGAAAAGATCACCGATAGTAAATATGCAGGTATGATAATAACAACCTGTGGCCATGTTACTAGACCATTACAAGCTAATTTATCGGTCTCATGTGACTGCAGCCACATTTAAATTAAAAGGCCTACATAAGCAATCATGTTCACAGAACGTACTAGTGTGTGATCTGAGACAGCCAAGCAGCCTTACCCAGAATAGCACTGTTGAGAGCGGAGCAGATCGCCTCTCTTTGCATGGGGTCCAACTGCTGGCCCACGGGGCAGTTCCAGGGGTCTGAGTACGCCAGCAGACTGAATGCATCCTGAACACAAACAAACACATTGGCGAGTGGGCACAAAGGATGCAAGTGTACTGCTACCCACAGGGCTATTCAACTTTCCACTTCAACTGTGTATTTACAT